AAATCAGGGGCCTTCAAACTTGACAGCTTTCAGACTTGTGGACTTCAGCTCCCAGAATTCCTCCTCCAGTCATGTTAGCTCAGGAATGCTGGGAGTTGAAGTCCACAAGGCTTAAAGCTGTCAAGTTTGAAGGCCCTTGTTCTAGACTCTCAACATATTTTTTTCTAGTGTGGTGACCAAAACTGGATACAGGATTCTAGGTGTGGTCTTCCTAAGGCTTTATGTGAACAAACTTATAAGGCGAGGATTGCCGCTACTCCGTGACAAATCCCACCCTTGCTAGCCACAGCGATCCATATGCAACCAGACTGGCTCCGTGGCGATTATTCGGACCTAGAGGTTCATACACTTTTTTTCACGCCCAAATTCAGGAATAATGGACTGGTGTCTTTTTCATGCTGGGGAGCAAATGAGAAACCCTCAGGGCTTCAAAAAAGAAGCTTCAAGAAAAACAAAGTCCCGTTGTCTCCCGAAAAAAAACAAAACACTTTTTGGACATGCTGGCTGAGGACTTCTGGGAGTGGAAGTCCACACACCTTCATGCTACCGAGGTTGCCAAAACCCTTCCTTGGCCCTTGGGCCCCAGGTGGATGGGTTTCCCCTGACCCACCTGCCCATTTCTGCCCTGCCAACTGTGACATCACGTGTGATGCCAAGGCTGACTGTTGGGAAGAGCTGTGGCCTTCAAGGGGGGGAAAAAAGGTCTTAATTTTGCTCTCTTGCTGGCATGACGAGCGTCACCTCTCCTTTTCCCAGCATCCTTAGGGAGAGAAATAGTCCCCAGGCTTCCACGAGGCTGTGGTCCCAAGATCCTTCACTCCCTCTCCTCCTTGCACGGACGATCTTTCCGAAGAGCTGCCCCAGATCCGCCCCAAGATGTTCCTCTTTGCCACCAAAACCAAGACCCCCATCAGCACCTACACCGACTCCTACCGGCCTCCCAACACCATGAAGAAGGTTTTTGAGGAAGCGCCGATGACCCTCTGGAGCGAGAATAAGTTTGTGACCCAGGTAAGTCTTCATGTGCACGGGGACTGGGAGTCCAGGAAGTTGTGGTCCCACCACATCTGGAGAGGGGTGACCATTTGAGAAGGTAGCAAGAGGATCCCTGAAGGGGAGGAACGCAACCTGAGGCAGCAGGGAAGGCCCACTGGGTCAGTCTAAGGTCATCGAGCTCAGGCGGTCAGCCAGGTTTTTCGGATGCCCCCTTTCCTAGCCAACACTGAATATGGGAGGGCACCACAAATGGTTGTGGTGTGGGGTCTTTGCTGCTCTCTGAGCTCGGTTGTTTTCTTGCAGACGTTTTATTACCCAGCTAGGTAACAGCATCTGTTGTGACTCGGAGGTTTGAGCCTGCTCTGTTAGAGGACACAGATTTGGATAATGAGGAAGAGGAGGATTTGGCTCTGAGGTTTGAGCCTGCTTTGCTAGAGGATTTGGAATTGCCTTCCTCCCCAGGACCTTCCTCCCTGGTTGTGCCTCAGGTGTTGGCAGATAATCAGGAGAGCGTAGCGGAGCCTCTGGCTGAGGATCAAGCTGAGGAATGTTGGTTTGATGCGAGGCAAAGACACAGGCGTGAGATGCAACACAGAAAGAAAGGACAAATCAGAGACTGAGATGAGAGACTGACACGCCCCTCAGGGAATAAAAGGGGGCATGTTAGCTCTGGATTCTCGTTCGGGACAATTTGTTAATTTGGGATAGAAGCTTCGACAATTTCTGTGTGTGGCGTTTGCCTGTGATTTATGTTCTTGTTTTATTATCGGACTTGGCAGGCAGCTTGTGGAAGACTGCCAAGGACTTCTCTCCAGCCAAAGGAATTTAACCCTGTCGTTACTGGTCTTGTCTTCTTGTTTATATTCATTTGGAAACCTGGACTTCTCACCTCGTTGGCACAGGTGAGACATAACAAGCATCTATCCTGGAAGGTGATGTTACCAAGTTGTGTCATGAAACAGCTGCAAGAAAACGACCGAGTTCAGAGAATACCATCGACCTCACAGTCCTCCTCCTCTCCCTTTTAGCACTGATGATGTTCCCTAGTTGGGTCATGAAATGTCTGTAAGAAAACCACCAAACGCAGAGAGCACCAAGGATCCCACAGTCCTCCTCCTCCTCCTCCTCCACCACCACCTCCAACTCCTCCTCTCCCTTTTAGCTCCTCCTCCTCCTCCTTTTAGCACTGATGATGTTCCCTAGTTGGGTCATGAAATGTCTGTAAGAAAATCACCAAACTCAGAGAGCACCAAGGATCCCACAGTCCTCCTCCTCCTC